GGAATTTCACAACACTCTGGTGCAAACATGAATGACAGAAACTGTCCTTTAACCAAGTAACAGTATTTGAATCACTGCAATGAACCAAGTAATACTATTTGATTCACTGCAATGAATATTTTCCAGCAAACACCCCCACCCCAGACTATCACAGCTTGCTAATGGTAGCGTGCCTTAATGGTCTGTGCAGGGTGGAGAAGAAAACCGAGCAATCCTCTTTGAGCAAGCTGGCCTCGCGGACTCTGAGTGCAGGGCATTTCAAAGGGCCGATACAATACATGGTGTGGAAGGAAATGAAGTCTATCCTTAGCCCAGGTAAGCCTGGGTCCTGGTTATCCATAGTTAAATCAAAGTGGATTAAAGTGGATCAGGTTATAGAACTTTAAGAGTGCATGCACATGAACGCTTATACTCAGTATTAAACTTTGGCCCTGGTCACACGGGCTGGATATCGCGGGGGGGGGGAGGCGTGGCTGATTGCCCCGGAGGAAACTAACGCGCGGCCACCCGAGCACACGTCCCAGTCGAGGTCCCGTGGTTAGGGGGGAGATGCCGACCAGACGGGTCTCCTGCAGCGCAGCACAGAAGCCGCGCGGCGCGATCACACTAGCAATTGCTCTTTGTGCGCATGCGCTGTTGGGCGCTGTTGCGCAACCTGCAGAGACGGGCGCCGGATGCCACGTAAGTCCACCGGAAACGCAATCAGACTCCCGCCTTTGGCCCGCGGTTTCCGGAAACTAGTACCTCGTAAGTACTAGTTTTTTAATCCACACCTTCGGCGGGGAGCTACGGTCTCGCCACGGGAGCACTGCGCTTCCCAGATGTTGGGGTGTGATCACGCCCGGAAAATCCACGTGACTCCTGTGCCTCTCCCGCGGCAACTTTGCCGTGTGACCAGGGCCAGTGTTCATCTTAAAAGGTGCCATTCAGACTCAAACTTTGATCTGTTGTGTTAGACCGACACGGCTACCCACCTGAATCTATCTACCGGGATTCCTCTTGTTCATTAAAAAATGAAATTGGAAGCAACCTCACTTCTTTAACTCATAAAAGGGAAGTGTCAGAGGAAAGATGACTGTGCTTTTTGCTTGAGCGATAAGTTTGTTACTTGAAACATTTGTTTTTATCAGGGAGAGGAAAGACTCCTTTCCATGAAAGGACACAAGGAGGCACCCAAGTAAATGAGTGGTAATTTTAGAGAAGGAGAGCCAAGCTTGGTGAGATGCTGGGAGATCTCTTGAGGATTCTTTTGGGTTAGAAGGCTGGTGGTGGGCTTAAACCAGTAAAGAAATATAATTTAACCTACGTCATTATTGAATGCATTTTAAACCGCTTTCCTTCTGTGGAGCTCATAGCAGCATACATGGCTCTCCCTTACTCCATTTTATCCTCACAACAGCCTTGTGAGGTGGCCGAGGCTGAGAGTAACTAGACCTAGGTCACACAGTATGTTTCTTGGCTGAGTGGGGTTTGGAATCCAGGTCATCCTTGCCCAGAACTCTAACCCCTGCACAACAGAGGCTTGGTATACCATGTTTGTGCAGAGGCCCTTTTCAAAATAAGTCCCGATTCACACTTTTACAATTGCTTTAATCCCGGTGTCCCCAACCTTTTTGAGTCTGTGGGCACCTTTGGAATTCTGATACAGGGTAGTAGGCACAACCACAAAATGGCTGCCAGAGGAGGTGGAGCCAGACACACAGAGGAAGCCTAAGTGCGGGGGAGAAGAGGCGATTCTTTTAAAAAATACACTGGGAAAGAGGAGTGGAAGAGTGTAAAACCGTCCCGGTGATGGCAGGTGCCACTGAAACAACATTCCTTTAATCTGCCCAGCCGATTGGACTTCCAGCGACCAGTCAGAAGCCCTGCGGGGCAAGTGCCCCACCTGGCCCCGCCCACTTTCTAAAAACACTTGGTGGGCACTAGGAAAGGTTTGGGCAGGCACAATGGCGCCCACGGGCACCACGTTGGGGACCCCTTCTCCAATTACTCTTTGTCTTTATCAACCAGATATTTCTTTCCTGACTCTCGACCCTGCGACAGCACATCCAAACCTGGTTCTTTCTGAAGACCTGACCAGAGTAACACATGATGATTCAAAACAAGTGCTGCCAGACGCACCGGAGAGGTTCGACTGCAGCGTCTCTGTCCTGGGGTCCGAAGGGTTTGCTTCCGGGAAGCACTACTGGGAAGTGAAGGTGGAGAACAAGACCAAGTGGACCCTGGGAGTTGTAAAAGAGACCATTAACCGTAAAGGCAACTATCCACTGTCACCTAAAGCTGGCCACTGGCTTATAAAGCTAAGGAACAAGGACCAGTTAAAGGCTGTGGATATGCCTCCCCGCTGCCTCCCCCTGTCTAGCGCGCTTCGTCGAGTTGGGGTGTACCTGGATTATGAGGGAGGTCAGGTGTCCTTTTACGACGCGGAAAACCTGACTCACATCTACACTTTCACGGCTGCTTTTGCAGAGAAGCTTTACCCTTACTTCTGTCCCTGTCTGAATGATTCTGGGGAAAACAGGGATCCTCTGAAAATTGTGACTTTTGATATATAAATGGGATACGGTAAAGCTTTTTTAATTTTAAACATTTTCTTTCTTAAATCTTAAAATGTTGAATATTACGGATAACTGTACTGTACTGATTGGAATTTGTCCTTCTGCGTCGTCGCCCCCCCCCCCCCCCCCCATTCTCATAAGGACTCGTAACTTATACTTAACTCATAACAGTCTTATAACTGTTTGGCATTCCCAAATTTAAAAAATGCTAAAGTTTTCAGACATCTTTTGTCTTGCTTTGATTAAATCCAACAAATGAACAATAATCTCAGTATTACAGTTATGTTGATCAGTTCCTGAGGGGGAGATATTTATGTATACTCTTTTTCTGTCTTATCCCAGTTTTATCCTAAATAAAGGATTAATTTGGATGGATTTATAGTTATGCGTGTGGGAAATTAAGTCCTAGATTTCACCATCATCCTGTATGTACAGAGACAGATATGTGCATGTGTGGCTAGATTATAAATCAGATGGACCAATGTGCATGCAGATAGACTGACAGAGCAGATGTGTAGGTAGTTAGCTCAATAAGTCACACTTGGTGCGTTCAGACGCACCATTTGATCTGGTGTCGAGCCAGTTCAGAAACTGATTTTATACGCGCAATCACACAGTCAACATCTGCCTCCCGTTCCCAGCCATTGCTTTCCGGCTCAAATCCCCTTTAAACTGGAGTGTTTTGTTACCAGGTCCCCAAGTGGTGTTTTCCCGATTCTCCGTTTCCAGCCGCATTTCCCCCCTGTGTGATCGCTCCTCTGGTGTCTAGCCACTTCCGGTTTAAACCCCCTCCCCGCTCGAAATCTGCCCGAGGCGTCCACTTTTCGCCCGCCATTTTTAAAGCATTGGCGGTGTGCGCATAGGTGGAGCTCTGCCACCGCATTTTTAAAAACAATGTTTAAACGGTGCCTAGTTTAAACAGTGCCTAGTTTTAGCATTTAGATGAGTTCGGGATCTCACAGAGGCCATTTTCAGGGTAAACGTTTAAAGGGAAGTGTTACAGCAGTCAGGTTGGAAATCGCTGTTCTGCGCACGTGAGAAAATTTTAGTTCTACAGATGGCTGCCTGTGCGCATGTCCAAACTGAGAGAGAAAAACAACACTGATGCATGCTCCCACCTGTGGACGGCGGGGAGCAATGTGGCTGCGCAGCGATCCGGAGCAAGGAGGTGAGTGTGATTGCAATTCTCCAGATTAAAAAAAATGCATCGGGGCTGGAGCAATTTAAACCGCTCGCAGCACGCCATCTGACCGCACCCACTGTGCTGTCATACACTAACACTAAGCAGGTCAAAACCACCTCGGTGCCTGACGGGGATACTAACTAGGCGTCCACACAGAGGGTTGCCAAGTTTTCAAAGTGTTCCCATAGCTGTCCCTTTCCTAACAGTTTGATGCTGATATTGAGAGCCAAAGGGGTGTAGTGGCTAGAATGTCAGACTAGGATCTAGAAGATCCAGGTCTGAATCACCACTCACACCATAGAAGCTCGCTGGGTGAACTTGGGCCGGTCACATACCCTCAGCCTGAGCTACCTCACAGGGTTGTGAGAACAAAATGGAGGAGAGAAGAACGATTAAGCTGCTGGGGAGAATAGCAGGGTAGAAAAGATGTTAACTCGAGTGCCCTCACTTGGCAGGTATCCACAACAGTCACACAGGCCAAATTCTTTCGGTTGCCAGCACCAGGTGGGGGAATGCCTGGAGACTTTGGAGTGATGCCTGAGGAGGGCGGGGTTGGGAGAGGGAAGAGACTTCAACAGGGCACGATGTCCTACAGTCCATCTTCCGAAGCGGCCATTTTCTCCAGGCAAACTGATTTCTGTCACCTGGAGATCAGTTGTAATAACGGAAGATCTCCAGCCACCACCTGGAGCTTGGCAACCCTAGGAGCTCTTGTGGTTTGTGTGGTGGGGAATAGTGTCTGATTTCTCAGTGGGTGCACATTGTGCGTACACACAGGATCTGTGTGCATGTGAGGCAGCGATTATCACGGGGGAACGAGGCTCTGAGAAAGTAGGCGGAGCAACACCCCTCACGTTTGGCTCCAAAGAAAAGGCGGGAAAGTGGAGAGCGAAATGTTCACTGGCCGCCGGGCCTGGTTCTCCCAAAGCGTCTCCCGAGAGCTCTGTGACCTCTGGGGTGAGGGAAGCCAGGCCTCTGAGGAAGGGAGCCGCAGATTTCCCTCAGCAAGATTGACCCCAGTGTTTGCGGGGGGGGCGATGGGAGAGAGAAATGGAGGGAAAGACACATTTCTCATACAACTACTTTAAGAATAGATTTATTGAGGACTATTCAAGGCAAAAAAACCCAACACCCAGCAGTTAAAACCAGGGTCAATGCACCAGAGTTAAAGCACATGATTGGCACGACATTTCAGATTATTAGTACAATGAAAAGATTAGTAGAATATTAGTACACAATATTAGTATACATTAGTATGGAAAGCACGTATTTGCAAGCAGCCAGCAGGCTGTGGCTAGCAGTGTGGTATAGTGGTTAGTGTGTCAGACTAGTACTCAAAAGGCCCTTAAAACTCCTCGGATGACCTTAGGGCCAGTCATTCTCTCAGTATAACCTACCTCACAAGGTTGTTGTGAGGGTAAAACAGGAAGGGTGAACCAGATGTTCTGCCCTGAGCTTCTTGGCGGAATGGTGAGAGGAAAACGAGGCAGTTGAAATAAGGTGTTGTGATACAGTTTAGTAAACCTCCATGACTTCTCAAGAGACAACAAGCAAACAAACTTTATTTTACATCCTGGTCAGTTGCTAGTTTTGTGGGAGGGCCACTCTGTCCTCCATCTAACAAAGTCGACTGGGTGCACATATCCTGTTGCCATAGCCTTTCCTTGCCTTTGAGTTGGCAACTGGTAGGACGATGGTTGCCAAAACCTGGCAACCCAGGTGAACTATCCTCAGGGGGTCACATCTGACCCCAGGGCCTGCAGTTGCTGATCCCAGTTCTACAAAGACCTTGGGATGTGCAAGATTTCATTCCCCCCCATCTTCTCTTTCTAGACCAGGGGCCTGAACCTTTTTGAGCTTGGGGGGGTAGCTTTGGGATTCTGACACAATGTGATTGAGCACAGCTACAAAATGGCTGCTGCAGGAGGCGAAGCCATCCACAAGATGGCAGCTGCGGCTTACTTTTGGTTAACACAATGAAAATTCTTGTGCTGTGCTGACCAGCTGCTGCCAAAGAAATAGTTTATCAAATCTGCCCATCAAATCTGCCCCACCCCATCCGCTTCCTAAGGACGCTCGGTGGGCCCCTCGTTGGGAATCCCTGTTCTAGACCGTTGCCTTGCTTATGAGGGCTGCCTCAGAAACTGATTCCTGATTGTAAGCATGAAAGTGACTATATTACACCCCTTTCTTAGGTGGGGACGCTCTAATGCTGCCAACTGTACCACTGGCCTTTGTAGTGGTACCTTAAGCAACAGTTTGGTGCACAGCTTTTATCAGATGGTTAATGTTTATCGCTATACAGTAGGAAGTTTCAACTGCAGATTACTGTAATTCACCCACAACAGGAAGCCAGGCTGTTTGCTTTTCTGGTCTGTAGGTAACCCTAGATTTGAATGATGACACAGGCTGAAGTGAGAGATGTCATGAACAAACTGGTCTTCGATGAATTGCAGGTTGATATGACATCCAAATAAGGATGCCTTAACAAACTGAGGTTTATTTCCATCCCAGTAACTGAGATTCTTAAAACAGGATTGGTTGCCTTAGCCACCCCCAAACTATTTCAGATAGACAAAATACCTCGCAGGGTTGTTGTGAGAAGAAAATGGTCCTCACTGGGGAGAAAAGCGTGGTATAAATGAAGTGAGTCAATAAAGTCAGATTAACATAAAACCTAGTGCCATGTTAGCAGATAGAATAGGAAGTTACAGACATATAAATCTCTCTAGCAGAAGTCGCTGGAAATGCTTTTTTTAAAAAACTAGCTCTATTTCCTGTGCAGACATTGCCCCTTCCTGGACAGAGGGGATCTTGCAATGCCAATTCATTATTTGTGTAACTTCAGGCTAGGCTGTGTGGGTGAGTGTTAAGTCAAGTTCCAGCTGACTTACAGAGACCCTGTAGGGTTTTCTAGGCAAGAGACGTTCAGAGGTGGTTTGCTATTGCCTGTCTTTGCTTAGCAACCCTGGAATTCCTTGGTGGTCTCCCATTCAAAACCTAACCAGGACCAACCCTGCTTTACTTCCAAGATCTGATGGGATCAGACGAGCCTGGGCCACCTAAGGCAGGGTAGACTGTTACTACCAGGGCTCTTTTTGTAGAAAAAGCCCAGCAGGAACTCATTAGCATAATAGGCCACACCCAACAGCAGGAACTCATTAGCATACTGGGCCACACCCCTGACAGCACAGCTCATTAGCACATTAGGCCGCACCCACATGTTACCAGAAGTCTGGTCATCCAGCCACACCCACCTTTTGCTTGTTATTCTGTTTACCTTGTTTGTGGTCAAAACCCAGGGCCTTTTTTTGTAGCAGGAACTCCTTTGCATGTTAGGCCACACACCCCTAATGTAGCCAATCCTAATGAGTTTCTGCTGTTGGGTGTGGCCTGTTATGCTAATGAGTTCCTGCTGGGCGTGGCCAAATTGGGAGCCAGCCGGAACTCCGTTCCTGTGCGTTCCTGCCCAAAAGTAGCCCTGGTTACTACTACACATTATATGCCTTTGATGACAACCCTGAAGCTTCAGTTGCTGCAGAATGTAGCTGCTGACAAATGTTGAGAGACACAATTGCATTCTGCTTCTACTACATCAAAACCCAGTTGTGCTGCCTGCCTGCCTGCTTCTGAACCTAACCCTTCATGGACCAGGGACCCTCATGCTTTGTAGGTCATCTAGTCCTAGTCTAACATCCTGGCTGTCCAGTCTCTGCTTGAAAGCCTCCAGAGAGGTAGGGCATCCCATCTAACCAACTGGTTCCAGTTGTCAAACCACTCTTACCATTAGAAGAAGAAGGGATTGGATTTATACCTCGCCCTCCACTACCTGAAGGAGTCTCAGAGCGGCTTACGATCTCCTTCCCTTCCCCTCCCCACAACAGACACCCTGTGAGGTAGGTGGGGCTGAGAGAGCTCTTTCGAGAACTGCCCTTGAGAGAACAGCCCCGAGAGAACTTGTAACTGACCCAAGGTCACACCAGCAGCTGCATGGGGAGGAGTGGGGATCCAACCCGGTTCTCCCAGATTAGAGTCTGCGTTCCTAACCACTACACCAAACTAGCTTCTCCTAAAGGTCAGCTGCCCTCCTCTGAACCTGTTACAATTGGTCTATAAAGTCTTTTTTAAAATGAAGGAAAAACACTGGGCACAGATCTCCACAGGAGGGCTCTCTAATACAGAGTAGGGTGGAACCCTTACTTCTAGGGGATCTGGCTGCCATGCTTCTTCTATTCATGCAGCCTAAGATCTGTATACTAAAAGGATACACTTTTCAACATTCAATCTCTATGTTGTTAAAATTCCCCACCTCCAGTTGCCGAAGGAGGAGTGATCACAAACCACAAGGATGCTGATTACCTGTTCAGCAGTGATGCTTCCCACCCTGATACAAAAAGGTATGTTTCGCCCTGCCTGTTGGGTTCAGCTTTCATCAATACACTCGTCCCCCACCGCCATCAACACCACAAGGAGGGAAAACAAATCCCGTGAATAAATATTAATCCAGACAGGGAAATCAACAGTGTGTGATAATGCTTTTGTAAAACTGAAACGCGAGGAAAAGACTGTTCAAAGTCCAGTGTTTATAAGATAACACAGACTGGCCACCATGGAGATAACCTGCAAAGGGAAAGGGCAAGATTCAATTTTTGCCCACGTTCAGGTTCCCTCATAAGCCAGGCTGGCATGGGAGTTCATCAGATGCAGTCTGTTTTAACCGAATACCCCTGAAAGCAAAAATGTATTTTTTAAAAATGCTTTGCATATAGAAAATAAGACAAGATTTCTAGTTTAGCCTTCTTCCTCACATGCAAGTTTCTTTCTTTCTTTCTTTCTTTCTTTCTTTCTGTCTCTCTTTCTTTCTGTGGTTACGAGTGCGGACTCTAATCTGGGAGAACCGGGTTTGATTCCCCACTCCTCCACTTGCACCTGCTGGCTGACCTTGGGTCAGTCACAAGCTCTGGCACAGCTGTCCTTGAAAAACAGCAGTTTGTGTCAGAGTTCTCTCAGCCCCACCCACCTCACAGGGTGTCTGTTGTGGGGAGGGGAAGGGAAAGGAGTTCGTAAGACGCTCTGAGACTCCAAGTGAAGGGCGGGGTATAAATCCAATCTCTTCTTCTTTCTTTCTTTCTTTTTCTGTCTCTCTCTCTTTCTCCCTCCCTCCCTCCCTCCCTTCTGTCATGCAAGCCTTTAGCTGCAGATTGAACTGCCTTCACCTGGAGGTTGGCAACCCTTCATCTGGACCTCTCGTGCTGTTCCTGATGGTCTTGGGGGTCCTTTGTCCCCTAAGAGCAGCATTGGGGGGGGGGCGTTTTGGGTTGCAGTGGGGAAAAAAAATTGTGTCCCACTGGCAGAAATCCTTTCCATTTGAGGAAATTGCCACTAGATCCAAGCGTGCATACTAGTCACATGTGGCTTTCTAGAGAGGGACCTCACAAAAAGCAACTTGAATGTAGGGTTGTTGCAAACCCCAGAAAATTCCTGGAGATATGGGGAAGGGGGGATGGAGCCCTGGGACAGTGGGGTTTGGGGAGATAAGCAACCTCATAGGGCTCTTTTTGTAGCAGGAGCTCCTTTGCATATTAGGCCACACACCCCTAATGTAGCCAATCCTCCAAGAGCTTACAGAGCTCTTCTTACAGGAGCTAGTGTAAGCTCTTGGAGGATTGCCTACATTAGGGGTGTGTCGCTTAATATGCAAATGAGTACCTGCTACAAAAAGAGCCCGTCCACCTTCCAAAGCATCCACTGATCTCTATAGCCTGGAGACCAATTGTAATTCTGGGAGGTTGCCAGGCCCTAGACTGGCAACCTACGTTGGAAGTCAAGTGTTTATATATTAATTTAAAACAATAATGGAAAACAAATGCACTGAATTGTTTTCTCCTTATTCTTAACATTATATTCCTCCTCTTCTTCCTCCTCCAGGATACACGAGAGCTTAGATTATCTAGAAGACAGAATTGAAGTTTTTCATTCCTTTTACCTCCATTCAAGTGCCAACTCTGAAATTAAAACTGCGGTCCCACTGGGACACTTCCTCCTCCCGCCTGCCTGCATACAAGAAGGTTAGTGTGGGGTGGGGGGATATCTCTCTATGTGTGGAAACTAATTGTCTAAAAAGTTACATCCAGTGAGCAGTTCAAATATACCCAAGAGCATAAAGATTTTTTTTTTGTTATGTGGTGCATGAAGGATTCCACTTGGAAACACATATATGCCGTGTGAAAATACAGGTGTAACTGTACTGTCATCATACCTACCAATGGGGGCTAATATATTAGGAACTGGAGGAAAAAGAAAGATATATTTTTTAAAAAATTAAATGTCATAAGCCACTCGGAATAAGGAAACAAATATATCTATCTTGCAAATGACATCTATGAACCTGCAACATACCACATCCAAAATATATCTGGTGAGCTGGGATCATGTTCTTTTAAGAGTTTTACACAAATGCAGGGCTATTTTTGGGCAGGAACGCACAGGAACGGAGTTCCGGCTAGATCCCAAGTTGGCCACGCCCAGCAGGAACTCATTAGCATAATAGGCCACACCCAATAGCAGAAACTCATTAGGATTGGCTACATTAGGGCTGTGTGGCCTAACATGCAAAGGAGTTCCTGCTACAAAAAAAGGCCCTGGGTTTTGACAACAAACAAGGTAAACAGAATAAGAAGGGAAAGGTGGGTGTGGCTGGATGACCACACTTCTGGTAACATGGGGGTGCGGCCTAATGTGCTAATGAGTGGTGCTGCCGGGGTGTGGCCTAATATGCTAATGAGTTTTGCTGTTTGGTGTGGCCTATTATGCTAATGAGTTCCTGCTGGGCTTTTTCTACAAAAAGAGCCCTGCGACAAATGCAAAGAGTCTTCTGTCAGGAAAAGTTGTATTTATATCCTTCGGAAATACGCACTGCATGTAGAACCACAACATGTAGGGTTGTCAACCTCCAGGTGGTGGCTGGAGATCTTTTGGGATTAAAAATGATCTCCAGGCGACAGAGATGAGTTCCCCTGGAGAAAATGGCTGCTTTGGAAAGCGGGATGTCTGGCATTATACCCCACTGAAGTCATATCACTCCCCAAACCCCGCCTCCTCAGCAGTGTTCCCTCTAAGCTGAGTTAGCATGAGCTAGCTCACTGCTTTTTATCCTCCGGCTCACAAACTTTTATCTTAGCTCAGGAAGGAGGGCTCCAGAGCAAACTAATTGATGCAGTAGCCAGATTGCTCGTTCACAAGTTCAATGCCAGGAGCTCACAAAGTAGGATTTTTGCTCACAAGACTCCACAGCTTAGAGGGAACATTGCTCCTCAGGCTTCACTCCCAAAATCTCCAGGTATTTCCCAACCCAGAGCTGGCATCCCTACAAATGAATTAATTGTTGTGTGGTACTGTGCTGTCTACAGTGTATTTATTTTTCTCGAAAGGGGGGGGGGGCTCGTGTAAAATGCAACTGATGAATATTTTTACATTCAATACAGAAATCAGGGGGGAAATTGGCAGTTTTATATGGGAGCAAATAACTGAGCCTCCGAGGCCTCAGGTAAGCAGAATACTTTGCTTGTAAACAGTTTTTTAAATGTGTGTACTTTAAGATTTTCTCTATTTTGGTTTGTTAATTTTGTTATTTGAAGTCTGGTGTTTGTGTATGCACTTTGGAAGGTGGCCTAGTTTGAAATCATTGTGATTGTATTTTCTTCCTTCCTTTCCTTACCAGAATAACTGTAGTGCAAGAGTCCCCAATCTCTTTGAGACTGTGGGCACATTTGGGATTCTGAGACGAGGGGTCAGGGTGCAACTATAAAATGGCTGGTGCAGGATGCAAGGCCAGAGGCGAAGGCACACATACAAAAAGGAAGCCCAAGCACAGGGGAGAAGGGGGGTAATTAAAAAAAACCCCCAAACCATTGGGAAAGAGAAGTGAGAGAATAAAACCAACACTACAACTGCTACCAAAATGTTACTTTAATCTGTGAAGCCAATCAGATCGCCAATGGCCAATCAGAAGCCCTGCTGGTCAACAGCTTTGCCTGGTCCCACCTACTTTCTAAAATCACTTGGTAGCAGGGGCATAACCAGAATTTTTTTGTTGGTGGGGTGCAGGGAAATCTGGGGGGGGGACAGTAGGGATGCCAAGTGGGGGTGGGTGGCAGGTAAACCCCCACTTTGGAGGCCCGATTTCCGCCACCGCGGAATCAGGCCCCAGGGGAACTCCGCCTCCGAAGTTTTCCCTCCGACGATCGGGGCCACGCCCCCAATGTGATCAACATCGCACGTCACTTCCGGGACGTGCTGACGGTGCGCGCGCGCGCGCATGTGCGTCGGAGGAGAGCTCCCGGAGCCCGGCAACGCTCCCCCACTGGTAAGGATATTCGACTTGGCAACCCTAGGGGGCAGGCTGGCCAAACCTGCGTACTCGGCTTGCAGCTCTGGCTCCACTGCGACCTCTAGTCTTCCTCTAGTTCAACTGGAGAGACTCGATTCTGAGCTGCTTCTCTGTGCAAGCCGGGGTGTGCGTGTGATCTCCGACTCTATTTTGCATTTTGTAATTTTATTTTTATTTAATTATTTTGCATTTCTAAAAACTTATTTATTCCTCAGCCTGGGGGGAAAAAATGAGACTGAAGCTTCCCTGACTGTGCCTGGGGTCATTTTGGAACACCCACATGCATCTTACACTTCGGGTTTTTTAAAAATGAATTTCTAAAAAAAAAAGGTCTGAGGGGGCAGCACTCACCTGTGGTGGGCATTGCCTCCATATGCCCCCTCCGTGGCTACGGGCCTGCTTGGTAGGCACCAGGAACAGTGTTGGTGGGCACTATGGCACCCACGGGCACCACGTTGGGGAACCCTGCTGTAGTGTTTAGAAGAATGCGCTGTGAATCCTGAGGTCCCTGGTTCAAATCCTGCCTCTGCCACAAACACAGTCTGTGACTCTAGACAAGCCTCTGTCCTTCGATTTTCATATGTAACAGGGGACCAATTATATTACTGTAAGAATTGCAGAAACATAAAGTGTGCATGTGAAGTAGAAAAGAGCAAGAGTCCAGTAGCACCTTAAAGACTAACAGAATTTGTGGCAGGATATGAGCCTTTGTGAGTCACTGATCACTTCTTCAGATGCCAGATACCGGGGGACTCTGCATTTTTGCACAGAACAAACCACGGCACAGCAATGACCAGTGTTCCCTCTAAGCTGAGTTGGTGTGAGCCAGCTCACAGTTTTTTAGCCTCCAGCTCACAGATTTTTGATCTAGCTCAGGAAGGATGGCCTCAAAGCAAACTAATTTATGCAACAACCAAATGGCTTGCTCACAACTTCGATGCCCGTAGCTCACAAAGTAGGATTTTCGCTCACAAGACTCCACAGCTTAAGAGGGAACATTGGCAATGACCCCCCCTCCCCATTTGTTGGCTGTCAATGGCAACCCCATGGGGTTTTCAAGGCAAAAGATGATCAGAGATGGTGCTCAGCTTTTGGGATCTGACAAGATCAGGCTAGCCTGGGCTATCCAGGTCAGGGCAATGATTCTTCCATCGAGAGTTAAAAGACTCCACTGTTGTAACAGGCAATATTCTGTGGATTTAATAGTGGTATATAGACATTAGTTGAGGATAAAAATGACTATTTAATGGGACCAGATTTCTCAGCGTTCTTATAAAAATCACATCATGAGTTTTGTGCAGAGTTTTAATGATAATTAGTCAACGTCCACAGCCGAGTGCACCTGTTGAAACAAGCCAGGCCGGGAACGACCAAGACCTAAATGACTCCAGAGGGTTGGAGAGAAGGTACGTTTCCCTTCCGTTGAGATTGCTGGTTGACTCTTGGGTTGGGCACTGGTAGGGTCATGGCTTCAGTGATCACCTGAGAAGGATCACCTGTCCTGATCTCCCTGGAGGAAGGGCGGCATTTAAAAAATCAAGATGTGCATATGGACAAGAGACTGGGGACAAAAATTATTTTCTCAGTTTGATCACCTCAGAGTTATATGGACGGCTTCAAGCGGGAATTAGACAAGCATATGGAGCAGAGGTCCATCAGTGGCTATTAGCCACAAGGTATAGATAGGGGCTCTGGGGCAAGTGATGCTCTGTCATCTTGGTGCTTGGGGGGGGTCAACAGTGGGAGGGCTTCTAATGTCCTGGCCCCACGGGTGGACCTCCTGATGGCACTGGTATTTCTAGTCCACTGTGTGATATAGAGTGTTGGACTGGATAAGCCTTTGGCCTGATCCAACATTGGCATCTCTTATGTTCTTATTAAGGGTTGGCAGTGCGCCGCACTTTGATCCAGGAAGTCTTTACAGATTAATTCCGATTGTTGGTTCTATCTCTGAGGGGGAAAATTGAACCAAACAAAACAGAAGTCTGTCCGGTGGCACCTTAAAGACGAACAACATTTTTCCCATGCATGAGTTTCTGCAATTTTGTGTAAAACTGTTTTTAACAGGGTTTTTTTCTCCTATTGTATCTGAACTTGTGAGCTCTGTCTCACAAAAAGGCTGACAATGAAGGAGCTGTGCCACTGGACCCAAATGAAGAAATTGAAATTGTTCAATATTTTCTATTCCTTGGCTCCATCATCAATCAAAAGGGAGACTGCAACCGAGAAGTCTAAAGGAGATTGAGACTCGAAACGGCAGCTGTGAAGGAGCTAGAAAAGATTCTTAGGTATAAGCAGGGCTTTTTTTGTAGAAAAAGCCCAGCAGGAACTCATTAGCATAATAGGTCACACCCAACAGCAGAAACCCATTAGCATATTAGGCTACACCCATGACAGTGCAGCTCATTAGAATATTAGGCCACACCCCCATGCCTTCCCTTGGCTTGCCTGGGTGCCTCATGGCTGTGGGGAGCCCGGGAAAGCCCTCCCTTAAAGGGAAGGGAAGGCTGTCTAAACTGCCTTCCCTTGGCTTGGCCAAGCAAGCCAGCCCTTGGACAGGCTGGGGAAGGCATGGGGAGGCATTTAAATGCCTCCCCGATCCTTCCAGGGCCCTGCCTGGCCCGCCTGCCTCGGAGTCGCCGGGGGGGGGGTCACTCTCCAGGCCTTCCCTCTGTAGCCACGCACGCAGAGGTTTTGGCTGTAGTGGGTGTGGCCAACTTTGAAGCTAGCCGGATCTCCTGTGTGTTCCTGCCCAAAAATAGCCCTGGGTATAAGGGTGTGTCACTGGTGACCAAGATCAAGTTAATTCGTGCCGTGGTATTCCCCATTTCTATGGATGGGTGTGAAAGTTGGGCAAGGAAGAAAACTTACAGGAAGAAAGTTGATTCCTTTGAAACGAGGAGCTGGAGGAGAGCTTTACAGATACCGTCAACCACCAAAATGACAAATCAGTGGGTTCTAGAACAAATCAAGCCTGAACTCTCCCTTGAAGGTAAAATGACTAAACTGAGGCTATCGTACTTTGGTTGCATCGTGAGAAGACTCACTGGAAAAGACAATAATACTAGGAAATGTGGAAAGTAGCAGGAAAAGCGGAAGACCCAACGGGAGATGGATTGACTCAATCAAGGAAGGCACGTCCATCAGTCTGCAAAACCCGAGCATGGCTGTTAATGACAGGGCATTTTGGAGGACATTAGTTTATAGTGTCGCCATGCCGAAAGTGACTTTATGGCACTTAACGCACACAGACGCAGACACACAGTCTTTTAGGTGCCACTGGACAGACGTCTGTTTTGTTTTGCTGCAACAGACTCACGCAGTTACCCCACTGGATCCAACTGATCAAAATGGATTTTTGGCTGGTTTGGCACCTGTTGTTTACTCCCGCAATTAAACTTCTTGATGTTTAAGAACGTATCCCGTTACACTTGATGCTCGACACTGCCGTGTATGCATTTGCATTGTTTGTAATGTTATATATGCACAGGGGTCATTTCGTAGAAAAAGAGGTGCAGGAGCTCATTAGCATAACTTATTTGCATATGCCACACCCCCTGACATCACCGGAAGTGTGTCAGAAGGCAACACCCACCGCTCATGCGCCACTGGACTGTTTTGGATTGCTAGCTATTGAGGGGGGGGGGGACGTGCAGATCTGCCCTAGCAGAGGAGAGAGAGCCTGCTCTGACTGAGGGCTGCTGGGAGCAGGGGGTGGGGCTTGTTGCATGTGCCCGCCCCCTGGGCTCTTTACTGCCGGAGCTCCGCTCCTGTGTGCTCCTGCAGGAAATGATCCCTGTATATGCATCATATTCTGTCCAGTGGTGTATACAATCCTAAACAGAGTTATACCCAGTTAGGGGAGACGCTGTGGCTCAGAGGTGGAGCATCTGCTTGGCCTGCAGAAGGTTCCAGGTTCAGTCCCCTGCTTTTCCAGTTAAAAGGACCAGGTAGCTGGGTGATGGGCAAGACGTTGACCTGAAGCCCTGGCTCAGTGGTAGAGCATCTGCTTGGCCTGCAGAAGGTCCCAGGTTCAATCCCCCAGCATCTCCAGTTAGCAAGGATCAGGTAGTAGGTGATGAGAGAGACCTCAGCCTGAAACCTTGGAAAGCCGCTGCCAATCTGAGTAGACAATACTGGCTCTGATGGACCAAGGCTCTGATTCAATATAAGACAAAAGTGGACAATCACGACCTAATCAGAGAACAAATGTAAAGAAAACAGTCGCGAGAGTCTGACCCACAGATCAAGCAGTCAACAAATGACCAGAATGAATGCGAAATATATAATCCCTTCGGAAAATGGTTCCCCATGATAGTAAAGATAACCTTTGATAACTTTAATTGGGAAAGCATCAATAAAGCTAGATATAAAATAATGATTTACAGTTGACAAGTTATAAGTTTATCACTCTGTATTCTGTATTCTGAAAGAATGTAGGTTGTTATGAGATAGAAACCTTATAGTGGCTGCGGTCACACGCAACATTAGCCACGCAAGAGATACGGAAGACAGGCGGAGTTTCCGGGCGCGATCTCACCAGCACATCTGGGGAGCGTAGCGCTTCCGTGGCACAACCGAGGCTTCCTCCCGAAAACGCGCAGGAAAAAACTAGTACCTCGGAGGTACTAGTTTCCGGAAACTGCGGGGCAAGGGCGGGCGTCTGATCGCGTTTCCGGTGGCATCCGGCGCCCGCCCATGTCCCCTTGTGAAGAAGGGTTTTTTTCCCCCAAGTCTCCGTGGTTGCGCACACGCACCCAACAGAGCATGCGCATTCGTAGTGTACACAGAAAAAGAAGCCCAGTTCGCCGCGCGCTTCTTTGTTGCGCGCAGGCATGTGTTGTGATCGACGCCTCTCCGTAACTACGGAAGCTCCACGGTACCTCCACAGAACCTCCACAGGAGGTATGATCACTTTACTGCATGTTAGTTTGCCCTGGGGCAAACAGCCACGCTTCTCCCCCGCAGTTTCCTGTGCGTGTGACCGGGGCCAGTATTCTTTTTTTCCCCTTCTCTAAGTGAAGTAACCTATATTTGTGTATTATAATGCTGAATTCTGTATTCCTTTTGAAAAAGAATAAAAATTGTTTGGGGGGAAAAAATCAAGCAGTCAACAAGACTTGCAAAGAAAACGTTTTCTGTATATTATGGTCAACAAGCACTACAACACAATAAACAAATTCCTTCAAATCATAAGACTAGGATTTTCTGATCTGTTTTCTTTACATGTGTTCTCTGATTCAATATAAGGCAGCTTCCCATGCATTCACCCTTCTAAGTCGATTGAAAGCAATGGCCTCGGAAGGGTGTTACTCTGCTTGGAATAGGACTGTTTGATTCTCGGTTGGCAAACTGATGAGGAAAGGAACATCAGCATAAAGTGAAATCTCATTTTTGGTAAAATGCAAAAGAAATCACTCGACTAGCAAAAATAACACAGTTTGCTGTCATTACAGTGAAGACCATCAAACCCCAGGACCACCAGAAAGAACGAGACTGGCCTACGTTCCCCTGCAGGATTATCCAGCCAGTAACATGGTGACAGGTAAAAAGGGGGTGTTTTTGTTTTTAGGAATTACCACTGTTTAATGTAATGAAATCTGTCTAACATACTCATTACGCAAAAAGTGTGGGTTTTGTTTTAGCTTGACTGATACTGCAAACCTACGCAGAGTTACTCCAGTCTAAAAATCCACTGAAATAAACTTGCTTAGACTGCAGAAGAACAAATTATTTTTAAATCTGTCCGCATCCCTTTCAACAACAAGCTCCCATCCCTGAAACAGAAGTGAAAGCTTGTTTCTAAAGAAAGTCTTAGGTAGGGCAAGTTTGTGTTCAAGGTGGGTGCAGCCACCTGGTCTTGTTCCAGTCCTACCCAAGTGAAGGGAGCGGGTGGGGTTGGGGGCTTCAGCAAGTTGAGGAGGGGATGCCCATCCATGCGTCCTCCTTCAGAAGACCACGCACACACAGGATGGTTTGCAGAGTTCCTCTTTATTTGGTTAGGTCTTGCTTTCCAGAATCCTCCCACACAGGGTAGTTGCTCCACTCCCTGCAACTGGCTTCCCTGGTTCCCTCACCCGCTGCACGCCGTTGGTTCTCTGCCTACTCTGCTACTAGGTAAAACAAATTAAGCATTAACCGTGAAGCTCAACAGTACATTCAGAATGATGTCACTTCTGTAGAAATATTTACAGCCAATAATAAGGTCTTATCTTAGGCACAAGGTCCTAATCTAATATACTTATTACAAAGACAACTGAGACAAACAACGGCGTTCTAATAATCATTCCCTTTGCATATTATTCATCGGGTTTGTCTGTTGTTGTTGATTCCACACAATCTTGAAGTACTGAGGGCTGTGGTAAAATAACATTCTTAATAAACTACATAAAAACATAAAGAAGTTTTCCTTTACAATAAGGAGCATTTTACATTTTATAAACTCACCAATATTTCAAGGTTCTTAGTACTAGTTCATATACTATATTGGTGCCACACTACATTACATTACATTACACATTGGATTTCTATACCGCCCCTTTCCGTAGACTCGGGCGGTTTACATAGTTTGTACAGTTTTTCTAACCTAGGGGCACATAGACAGGGGAGGTGAATTCCTTACCCAGGCACCCCCTATTTTCGGCAGGGCCTTCTTTCCTTCTTAGCTTTTTTCCACGGCGGTTCTTGCTTGGTGCTGGCGATGTTTTTACTGATGCAGGTCTTTCAGGTCTTTGCTAGACTATTGCATTTAAGTTCTAAAAGGAAACATACAAGCATATTGTAAACCTAGTCACATCATAGTTTAATACTGGCGATTCCCAGTCTACTGACCTTCCACAGCCTGCAGTTCAGTGTCTTAACCACTTGAGCCACTGCAGCTCCAACTCACATTTAGCGTAATATAAAAACACAAAGAATTGTAAAATTACACACGGTGGTTTAGTGTTTTACTTAGTCACATACACCGTGGTCTGGGTTCTTACAATTACTCTGCCACTAGGACCTGATCAGCTGACTTGGATCTGTCTAGAGTGCCTTCCGCCTACATCCTCTCCTTGTCATTCCCCTCCTGTTGGCTTCCTGTACCAGGGTGGGGCAATGCCCCCCCCCCGACCCCTCCATTCGGACTCCAGCCACAGGCATTATAATATGTGCATGAGACAAAAATAAGGCCAAGGCTGAGGGCGCAAGTAAAGAAAAATATATTTTATTACTTGACTAAAAAAAGAGGAGGGTGATTTTGAGTGATGAAATATATTTTTTACTTTTTTCCCTTTATCTGCCTCATTGGCCTTGGCCTGATTTTATCTCTTGGTGACTGGTGTGCAGTGTTCCCTCTAAGCTGAGTTAGTGTGAGCTAGCTCACAGTTTTTTAGCCTCCAGCTCACACATTTTTGTCTCAGCTCAGGAAGGGATGGCTCCAGAGCAAACTAGTTTATGCAGAAGCCAAATCACTGACTCACAACTTTAATGCCAGTAGCTCACAAAGTAGAATTTTTGCTCATAAGACTCCACGGCTTAGAGGGAACATTGCTGGTGTGGCCCTTTTATTTTCTCATAATCATAATATTTGTGACAATGATTTCTTTCTTCTAGCTTAGGTTTCTTTCTTTGGTCCTCCTGTATTTTTTAAAAATAACAGCTCTGAAACCAACTGCATGGCATTGTGCACGTCAAAGGTGTACCCCTTTGTGTTTACCTAATAGGTTATGACTCTGCTAAAGAGATGAAGAAATATCTTGGCGAGATACGGGATTTCATTCCTGGACGCTCTGGTTACTTGGTGTACTGTATACAGAATGAAACTAGTTTCTTCTCTGATAGGAAACCAAGCTTGAAACGAAAGTTATAAACAACATTTACTTTCTTACGAAGAACACACTCTGCTTCTAAATAGTCTTCCTTGTGGTTTGTGTTCTCATCCTGCCAAGTTTTCTTTTACTCTGAATTTTGCTACTGGAAGGGCTGCCAAATGCTTTGCACTGCTTTTGCTCTGTATCTAACTGATTTGTGATATTTCCTATGTCTCAATAGTCTTCAGTTTCATTATCAAAAATCTTTTGTTACATTTTATTCTCTTAGAAATACACACAATTGTGCTTCAGTGGGTTCGTCCTGGCTTCTGTTTTATAACTGGAAGTTCGGATCTTGGAACATTCTAAGCCAAATGACAGCGGTTTCAGTTAGCACTGCCAGGTCCCTCCTGGCCACCATCGGGATATTTTATTTATTTTTATTTATTATTCACATTTCTATCCCAGATAAAACAGTAAAAACAATACAAAATATTAAATTATAATCCCATTAAAACAGATTTTGATACTTCTCTCAGCTACTTTACAATTTCTAAAAGCAAGATGGCCGCATCCTAACCATCCCGTTCTCACCCATAGTGCAGCGATTAAAGGGCCCAGATGTACTTGCCCCCATCCTGATGTCCGTATATGGGGGTTAGGTGGTAACTAATGTGATAGTAGTGCACTAGTGGTGCACTAGTGGTGGCGGCTCCTATTCAAAAGCCTGGCAGAAGAGCTCCGTCTTGCAGGCCCTGCGGAACTGTGCTAGGTCCCGCAGAGCCCTGATCTCCTCTGGGAGCTCGTTCCACCAGATAGGAGCCGCCACCGAGAATGCCCTATTCCTGGTCATGGTAAGTCTAATAGAACGGGATAAGGGGCAGGGTTGCCACATCCAGGTTGGGAAAGTCCCGGAGATTTGGGGATGGAGCCTGGGGAGGACGGGGACCTCAGTGGGGTACAAGGCCATGGAATCCACCCTTCAAAGCATCCCTTTTCTCCAGGGGAACTGATCTCTGCAGTCTGGAGATGGACTGTAATTCTCCCTTTCTCACAATACAAGAACTCGTGGGCACTCAAGGAAATCGCTGAGCAGTTGGGTTAGAACAGATAAAAGGAAGTCCTTCTTCACCCAAAGGGTGATTATCACATGGAATTCACTGCCACAGGAGGTGGGGGCGGCTGCAAGCATGGACGGCTTCAAGAGGGAATTGGATAAACATATGGAGCAGAGGTCCATCAGTGGCTATTAGCCACAAGGTATAGATAGGAAGTCTCGGTCTGGGGCAAGTGATGCTCTGTATTCTTGGTGCTTGGGGGGGGGCAACAGTGGGAGGACTTCTAGTGTCCTGGCCCCACTGGTGGACCTCCTGATGGCACCTGGTATTTTTGGCCACTGTGTGACAGAGTGTTGGACTGGATGGGCCATTGGCCTGATCCACCACTGGCTTCTCTTATGTTCTTATGGAGGATCCCCGGGTGATCTTGAGACTGACATCCCTATTTTCAGTATTGCTTCTTGACTACTCATTCAAGTCTCTAGTACTGAATTATAAATTGGCTTCCGGGTTGCTGACTGTTTGCAAAGACCCTTTCCGATCAAGACAGCAAGAAGCATTCTGGCTAAGTGAAGGACAGGATCAGATCAGATCAGAAGTCTGAGCAGTTGTTCTTGAGCCTTCTGCCAAAATTCCCAAAGTTAACTCATAACTACGGCCTCTAGATGGCGCCCTTTGATAAAGTAGGAGTAATTTAAAAAATGGGGCTTACGGGCAGGATAACTGCAGGATTCCACAAGAGATACTTCTAAGTATCCAAAGAGTCACATCAGAATTTTATCAATGTGATACGAAGATGAGGAAAAGGGCCAGTTTAAAGCAGAAATTCAATGGTAACTAATTTGGCTCTTGGGAGATGGCGGGGGAGGGAGAAGCAAACTGCAGAATACATACCAGAATGGGTGTTGGTGGGGGCCGTGGGCACATTGTTGACCACCCCTGCTCTAAAGCATTTCTAAGAAGAACTTTAGTCCCATAACCATTTGGGAAATATGTTGGTTCTAATTTTTTAAAAATTAGCTCTTTCTGGGCAAGCAACAAGCTGTCATCCTCTGTGGCGATGAAAGAACAAAGGAATCCCTGTCCACGACTGTGGTCCGTTCAAGAAGATGAAGGAGAAATCAACAAGAAAATAGTTTGATTGCTGAAGTTACATCTGAGCAGAACCCGATGTAGGAAAGTGGGAACTCATCATTTGTCTTAACACGTACAAGAGCTTCTGAGAGAATTCACTGCCCTTGATGGTGAGCTAGGCTTGGCTATTGGGAATCGGCATCACTTTTTTCCATGGTAGGAAAATCAGTTCCCCTACATGGGGGAATTCACTGCCACAGGAGGTGGCGGCGGCTACAAGCATGGACGGCTTCAAGAGGGAACTGGATAAACATACGGAGCAGAGGTCCATCAGTGGCTATTAGCCACAAGGTATAGATAGGAACTCTCGGTCTGGGGCAACTGATGCTCTGTATTCTTGGTGCTTGGGGGGGGGGGCAACAGTGGGAGGACTTCTAGTGTCCTGGCCCCACTGCTGGACCTCCTGATGGCACCTGGTATTTCTGGCCACTGGGTGACAGAGTGTTGGACTGGATGGGCCATTGGCCTGATCCAACATTGGCTTCTCTTATGTTCTCTTATGTCCTTATGTACTGCCTACAGGCTTATTTCACACAGGCATCTAAAATTTTGGCCGGCCTCATCTCTGTGCCGAATCCCAAAGGATGGCCTTTGTGGACCTTTCTTTTCAAGAGAGTGGTTTTGGACTTTTGTGAGTACCAGGGCTTTTTTTGTAGAAAAAGTCCAGCAAGAACTCATTAGCATAATAGGCCACACCCAGCAGCAGAAACTCATTAGCATATTAGGCCATGCCCCCTGACAGCACAGCTCATTAGCACATTAGGCCGCACCCCCATGTTACCAGAAGTGTGGACATCCAGCCACATCCACCTTTTGCTTCTTATTCTGTTTACCTTGTCTGTTGTCAAAACCCAGGGCTTCTTTTGTAGCAGGAACTCCTTTGTGTGTTAGGCCACACACCCCTAATGTAGCCAATCCAAATGAGTTTCTGCTGTTGGGTGTGGCCTATTATGCTAATGAGTTCCTGCTGGGCGTGGCCAACTTGGGAGCCAGCCGGAACTCCGTTCCTGTGCGTTCCTGCCCAAAAATAGCCCTCGTGAGTACAGAAGCATCTGCATGAAACTTTGTTTTCTGCAACTAAATTATCCCTGTGGCTATTATTCAGGAAGGATTTGCAAACTTTCATAACATAGATTAAATTCCAGGCAGAACAAAAAGCACGTTAATTTTTCAATGGCAAATGGCAGAATGACTTGCTTTGTATCAGGGCAAAGCAGTCTTCTGATGTGGGTACTACTGATAAAAACATATATATATATTCCAAACTTCACAGGCTCCTTCTTGTTTTTGTTTTTCCTTTATATGGAGATAAATCTCCGTGCTGGAAAAAGGGGATGGTGAAAGGCAGCTTTGGGTTTAAGGTTAACCCTACCATGAAGCAACATGAAATAGTTTATTTGGGCAGCAGATTTCTTTTTTAAAAAAGGGAAGCCATTTCCTACCTCCTGGGAGCTCCAGTTCACACCAGGAGTCGAGGAGTGTCATTTTGATGTATGACTCCAGGCCAGCAACTCCTAGCTAGAGAAAGAAGGGTTGGGCAAAGTACTGTATGTGTCAGGAGGAAATTGATAAAAGCAAGAAAGTGGGAACTTCTTCAGAAAAACCTGAAGAGGAAACAAACAAGAATAGAATTCTCTGTGACACAGTATTTGGGTGTCAAAAGGCATAACTTAGCAGTCCTGCCCTCTGCAGCAATTAATATTTTGGACAGCACTGCTTGTGTAATGCTAAGGCAGGGGTGGCCAAACTTGCTTAACGTTAAGAGCCACATAGAATAAACGTCAGATGTTTGAGAGCCACAAGGCATGAACAAATATTACACACACGTTTTATTGGAAGATATGCAAATCTGCTTCTGCTTCTTTTTTTACATTAAATGAGACTGCCAAAATAAAAACAAAAGGGGTAAAAACAGATCTTGATGATATTCATTAGTCCAATGATATTTATTTTTTTGCTAATGATATGTGTCTGAGAGAGAGAGAGAGAGAGAGAGAGAGAGAGAGAGAGAGAGAGAGAGAGAGAGGTGGAAAAAAGAATGAAAGAGGTAGAGAGCGAAACAAAGAAAGCAAATAGATGGGGGAGGGAGGGGGAAGGAGGAGAGAAAGGAAGGAAGAAAGAGAAAAAAAGAGGGGGAAAGAAAGCAAGTAGATGGGGAGGAAGGAAGGGGGTATAAGGAAAAACAGTTCCTTGCTTTGCTCTGAGAAATAAAATCTTTGGTTCAGTCTGCAGAGAGGCCTACATAAATCTTCCCAGAGGCCATTAGAGATAAATTGTTTGCAGCTGAAGTGCTTGGGAGTACCATCTTCCCCTGGTCCTTCCAATTAGCACATTTCAGGCAACTGAAGTTATACAGGATGGGACCTAGCTGCAGTTTCCCCTCTAGTCCATCCTTGGACATCACGTGCCTAGCAACCTACAGAGAGTTACATCATCTCTCCGGTTTCCAACGGTCTAACAGGCCTGAGGTCAATCAGAGACCCTCTTCATAGATCTAGTTAGCCTTTGCACTATGGCTATGGGGCTTTGTGACCACTTGGCACTGAAGCATGTCAGTGGTTGTACAGCTCCCAAATTGGTGTCCCACTTGATGGCTGCTTGGAAGGGCTATGCCCTGAATGTCTTGATTTACTGGAACTAACTGCCTGCGCTGAACCATATCGGTAACTGGAACCCTCACTCTTATGTTTTAGTTATGCTGGAGAGGCTTTGATTTAGTTATTTTATTCCCTCACAGTCTTGTCTTGTTAGAATATTTTTGCACTTTAAATAAATAACTATATTTTTATTCTGTCATGGGTTTTGCCTTCATTGACCTCAAAGCATGGGCCTTTGGCCACCTACCAGCGAACTGTTTTGTGTTTGGA